TTCCTTTCAGAAAATGTGCTTTACTTGATAATCGGAGTAAGCTTTCTTGTAAAAAAAGTGTTAACATAAAAAAAAAATAAAAATAAATTCAACATCTTTGTAAAATCAATACATTTTTCCCTAAACTCAGAATCTAAAAATCACTAATTTATTACGCTTAGTTTTTTCTAGACGGGGTAAGATACAAATTAAATAACTTTATGAATCCTACCTTCTTAACTTGTTACCCACAACAGTGATACATCCGTCTCCAGAATCACCTTTCCTTTTTTTTGTCTCTAACAATATGTCGTACAAATGGAATTACATCATTGGTGTTTAATATGAAGTATTTGAATAATTTTAAGGGGCTTGGTGTTAGTTTTATTATTTAATACTGTATACTCACCAGTACATCCGCATAACGTTATTATGTTTTTTGATAATATAATTTGAAAGTAAACATTAATTGCTATCAAAACAATTTCTTTTTAATTTATACGAATCCGCGTGTTTATAAGGTAATTCATTTTCTCTCGATATAGAAAATTTTAAGTGTGTAGGAGTGATTTGAAGTAGTTTTTTTAATGGGGCAACGTCAGAGGTGGAGTGAACCCAAATTTAGGCCGGGAGATCTTCCGTTATTCCACTTGCACTTCTTACACTCGTACGTGAACTTTCATACATATCCTCTATTTAACTAATATACAATCTCCGAACTCCTCATCAGAACCTCTCTCAGCACTCTGTCAATAATAGTACTTAACACTTTTGCCCGTTTCAGTAAATTTTTATTCTGCTTCTTCAATAGGTTTATCGTTGATCTCATAACTTTTCATTTGTATTTTTATAGACAGTCAATGACAATACCACTTTTGTTTTTTTTATTTCATTTGATATTTATTATTGGGTATATATTATTATGTAATTTTGTATCTAATACTCGTTCATTATTTGCACACCTACATTATTTTTAAAATGATAGATACTTATAATTAATAATAATGGATACAATAATAGCACGGCCTATCGAATTACCTTAATACAAACCATTTTGAATAAGTTTATAAATAATACGAGAAAACAATATACCTACCTACTTCATAAAATAGGCCACCAGGCTTTAGTATAGTCTAGGTTATCCGGAGAGTTCCTAGTCGTATACCAGCCACTCCAACCCTAAACAATATGCATACAGCTGAAGTACATAATATATTAAGTAGGTAAAATACTTATATATATATACTATACGGTAGGGTTGTTCCGGGGAGGTAATTTGTTATAAACACCGGGTACCGACTACCGAGTACTGGACGATTAAAATATTTAATACTAACCGGGTGTCGAGTATTGGCCGAGTGGACATTTTCATACTAGCAGGCCGTCGAGTATTGGCGCAAAGTAGAAATGTAAACACAAAATGGGGATCAAGGCGTTATAAACATTATCAACTACGAATTGCCGATTGAAAAATTATTAATAATCTACAAAAAACTAGCTATTGTAAATTGGTTGTTATTAAAATAATATACCAAAATAAATTATAATTTATTACTTTGGAATTTAAAATTTTTCCCATTATATAAATTATAGTTATGCATGTATATTTATGTACAGATTATCATCGTTTGTCGGTTACCGGATATGAGGCGAGTAAAAATGTAGATATTACGCCGGGTAAAAATTTGGTATTACAGCGGGTACCGGATTAGGATCGAGTCTTAAATATGATATCGAGTAATTTCCGGGTCGTCGGACTATCTCTACTATATAGTGTATGTTTATCAAACCCTAACAAAAAATGTGATAAAACAATTTGAAATATAGTTAATTCACTTTCAACCAATCTTTAACGTGCACCCGACGCGTCGTAGCTGAAGCTCAATTATTTAGACCAGCGTCCGATTTCCTTTACCAAAAACACGGTTTACGACGGTGTGATATTGGGTTCTTTCAACTACTTGTACAACATACCGTAAACATAAAATACATATTATATTTCATTCAATCGCTCGCTGTTTAGCGAACGTGACCGATCAGTGTGGTCTGCGTATGTTATTATTAGCAATGCTCATGTCCCTTTTGAAAAAGCGTAATATATTATATATGCCGATGATTGATAGCGTATTTAGTGAATGGCGCGCCGCAAACACGCGTTGATCGGGATAATGCACACACCGCGTGGGCAGTGGAACGAAATATTAATGGCATGTGTAAGACCACGAACACGATGGTAAACTCGTTTTCATTCATTATTTACAATTTATTATTATTTAAACCGATTACGATCTAGCCGTGTTCCTGATTTCTAAACACCAACGACGTTTTAGGTATCCTACCTGTATAACATTTAATGCTATACCGAACAATTGAAATTATTTTTGTTTTCTAGTCGACAAAATATAGTCGGTGCGCAGGTTTAGAGTTTTAGTCGAATTGGCACTAATGACTAGGATTAAAATGAAAAAAGTGCATTTTTTTTTCTTTCGATTTTGATACTAGATATAACGAAATAAGCTATTTAGTTTTACTATGAAACGTGTTCGTGGTTATTTTTCTTTTGAGAAAATGCTTTTTCTATTAGAAAAAATGATCCGACTCTTTCATGTCTTACTTATAACCCCTTACATAATGCAATTTCATTATTTAACAGTCAGCACTAAAAAGCTTACCAAAAAAATATTTTGCGAAATACATTTTATATCGTTTTTATGATAATTCTAATCTGAAAAAAAAAATATCTAATACATTGCTCATTGTTAATTTATTGACTTAAGTAAAATAATGTAATTTAGGTACCTACTTAATTTTATTATACGAGTATTAAAGGCACTACAATACAGGTAATAAAACTACATATATTTTACATTTAAATAAAATGTCGGTACGTTTTGTATAACCAGTTAAAAAAAATTCTTTGAAATTTATCAATAAAACGTCAAATGTCTATAAGTGCTATAAGTATTTTAATAAATCAAATCATAATTACTAATAGATTATGAACTGATCGAAGAAGCTTATAATTTTACAATGAAGTTTATTTTTTTTTCTGTGGACAACTTTTTTACCAGGGGACGTGCACCGATTTGTACGTGTAGCAATTTTTCTGAAAGAAAATCGGCGTGAAGAGGTATTTTAAAGAGGTCATTTTTTCATTTTCTTCGGAGTTTTCTCAGCAAACGTGAAAACTGGGAACCGGGAAAATCGGTACAATAATAAACAAATATTATTTAAGAAAATTTGTAGAGCCTATTTAATTATATTACTATAATTTGGCATATGTATTGTTGACAAAGCATCACTATCAACTGAACTCCGCTCAGAATCGTTTTTTCCTAAGCAATAGTTTAGATCGTTGCTTACAGGTATACATTCAATTACCTATAACAGTAGCTGCACCCGTCACCATTATCCTAGGATGTCTTTTTAACGTTGCTCCTTAAAAATCATTGCATATACTTCTAAATATGTTCAAGGAAATATAAAAATGAATATCATGATCATCCTATCGCATTATCTTTGATGAGATTAGACATCAGCAAAAGGTGGACGTAAAATATAATTCAATTCGATTTTTTTTTTCATACCAAATGAATATTTTTAATTAAAATTTTTAAGTCTTATCATGTTAATAAAAATAATATGTGAAATGTACATGCAATTGATATTTTCCAACTTACACTAGACATACGAAGCATTTTCCACCCATTTTTGATGATGGACGATGATAATATCGGGTAGGTATAGTCTGGTTTAATAAAATCCGCATTTCAAAATCGCAACACGTGTAAATCCTTCATAACTATTCTATAACCATTTTATAAATAGACCAACCGGGTATGTTTTTTAAAATAATACGGTGTTTATACGGTTGCACATAGGCAATTTACGAATAATTATTATATTTAAATAATGGCAATTAATCAATTTAAAAATATTCAAATTCACTTTCGAATAAAATAAATATACAAGTAGTTCAATGTCGTAATCACTAGATTTTTTTGTGAAACCGTCATGATATAAAATAAATTTTTTACGATATATCGTTGAAATGGAGGATAAAATTTAAACTACCAAAAGACACATCTTTGATGTTTTCACTATCGTGTATAAAATACTAACTGTAAAGATGCACACGGCTAAAAAAATCATCCTTTTTCGCAACAACATGGTGAAGTTCATATTAAAATTAAACTAAAATGGCATCACTTTTATAAAAAAAAAGCTTTAATTCCCAAGTTTGAGCTCTTTTGGTCAAGAATTCTTGAATAACTCACTAAAATATCAAAATTTACTGGTAAAAAGATAATATATATATACACACACTGTGTACACGGCAGACATAATATGGAATTCAATAGTTTCTATTATCGGGGAAAATTTGGCAAAAAGATAAAGGTCTCGGATATTCTTCTTAAATTGCTGTGCAATTTTGTTAATTTTGCTATAAATAGGATAACAGTAGAATTTTCCCTTGCAAAATATTTTTTCCATACAGATTACGTAGAGGGGGGGGGGAGATTATCATTTCTTTTTAAAGACAAATTTGATTGATGTTATCGAATTTTTTTTTCGTATATTTGTATATGACGCATGACGTAAAAAAGGAACATACAAAGTACAGCTCACAAATTTATTAGACGTTAGCAAAAAAGCGGAGAGAAGTGTTAGAAATCAACCATTGAATCGCGAAAATAATATTTATTGAAAATAAAAATATCAGATTAATGATAAAATATTAAAAAAATAATAATCCAATAAAAGACATACTATTTTAACATCTAAATATTCAATACAAACATTATAAAAAGACACATACTGCAAAGTAGAACAAATCCTTCTTGCGGTATGTGACCGGGAGAGTTGATTCATTATGTAGGTATACCTATAGTACTATGTGTAAATGATTCGCAAAAGATGAGTCATATATAGCTTAGAGAAATTGTTTAAAAAAAAAAAATTAACATTTTTAAAAACAAAATATATTTATAAAACGAGTAGGTATAAAATACTTCGTTGAAACGCTTAAGCTTGATCCATAATCTTCCGTCGTAATATTTGCGACATTAAATTGCAACCATAATTTCGGAGCATCGTTGAGTAAAAATGCATAATTGTAAAGAACATATTAAGTGTAATACGCATTGAAAGCGAACGTGTTTAAATGCTGTTAATATAAAAACAAATTTTGCTAATTCAATATTAATCATTTAACTGAAAATTACTTTTGGAATGAAATATTTTAAAGTAAATATTATTCTACACACACACAGGCGTATAATAAATACGTTTAAAAACAAGATATTCGTCCCCGGTTTTATATTGCACACGATTTATTTGCATGGTACATATTATATTATTATTTTATTTATTAAATGGGACATATTTCGCATCACGGATAGGCTATAAATTGGCATTGTAATTGGAAAGATTGGAAAGATACAGACGGTAATTTAGTTTATATACCCAATAAAGGTTACGATAAATCGGTGGAATCGAAGAACGATTCTGAGCAAAGATACATCAATTGGTAAGTTTATAGGTTTAATCGTGAATTTTCCCTTTATAGCCAATGAATTAATAAAACCAATGTACTGTCTTATTTAGTGTCGGATTTAAAAAATTTTTCTAGATAAGAATTGTTTAAATAAATAATATAAATAGTAGCGAATAATCCGCACTTCTTAAAGTACAATGTGAACAAAACAAAGTATTTTCACTAATCAAAACCGTGTTTCCCGAGGAAAATAACACATGTAGTCTTCGAAAAAAAATGTATTTATTTGTACAGACTACTGAATCCAGTGGCGTATTTACGGAGGGAGATGTTGGTGGTTTCCACCCCCCCCCCAGGGAATTATTTTTTTGGTTTAAAACAATTGTTTCAAAATCGTTATAACTTATAGAACAACATTTTAGTTTGTCAAGATTTAATAAGATAATGTGTTGTCTGTTGAATGTAGAAATGTATCGGTGTTTCAGTCTGAAACACGATGATTGAGAAAAAGTAAAATGTGCACATTGAAAACAATGTAACGTGTTAATATTATCGTCGTAAGTGAATTGACTGGTTAATAGATTTGCGCTTCATTCAAGTTCTACTCAGTTTGACCTATACGAACCATTCGTTTCTCGGAAACAAGAGAGTAAAAAACTAATGTTTTATACTACCTAACTACGTATTATACTTATAATTTATTACCGGTTTGGAAAGAAAAAAAAACAATATATATTAACCCGAGAGTAAGAGTAGTACGCCTAAGTAGGTAGGTAAGTGCGAGTGCATATAAGTAGCTGATTATTTTACGACTTCTAATGAATGTTTTTTAAATATACGTTTAGCTTATGTCTTTTCCCCTACAAAATGTTTTTAGATTCTAAGCGTAGCGAGAAATAGTTTTACTATGACGTTTAATTTTTTTCTGTTTGTATGTAAACCACTTTTCTACCAGAAATATTACTCTGATTTTCGACTCCAGATGATAATTTTGTTAGTAAATTTGATTTAGTTATTGTAAGTTTTATTTCCCTTGAAGTTTTCAAAATATCGAAAAAAAAAACGGGAGAAAACAGCAATTTGAGTGTATTCTCGCTATTAAATATAAGTACGTAAGTGATAACAAAAACAAATATTAGGTTTAGGCCCGAAAACAAAAAAATATCATAATAACGATAACAATTTAAGAATTGTTTACTGCATTTTTTCTCGTAACAATAAATTCTGTTTTAATATATTCGTTAAGATACAAAATATTAAGAAACTATTGAATTTTAAACGCATTCATAAGTGATGATGTTTTGGAGTTGAATGCATTTTGAACGGTATTTGTCTATAGGTTTTCAGTGCATTAAATTGACATCCCTAATTAAAATAATACAATAAATACTATACAGTAATTTTTCGAACTACCGAACAGCTTTATTTCATTTTATTTGTTTTTTTAATTTTATTTCATTCTGAACGAACTAATTATTTTCGATACGAGACTCTGTATTACGAAGGGGCCGCGCGTGTTTGAGAACACGACCAGAATACAAATTTCTTATCAGAAATATATAATTATTTAAAATAATGTTATACTTACATTGTCTGTACGCATTCAATTGGAAAATATTAAATTGACTCGCGATAATAACATTATGCTGAAATCCTCTTATAAATCGTCCGATTTTCATTAATACAGGGTGATTTTTGTTATTATGAACCGGCAAGAGAATTTTAAGTGAATTTGATTTCTGTTTTTTCTAATCATTATGAAATCGTTTAAGCTTTATTTTAAAATCAGTTTAAATTTTTTTACTTCTACTCCATATGCCTTAAATAAGCATATATATTACCCTTCCCTACTCCTCGGGTTTAAACTTTAAACTGTTATAACTCATAAACAGTGAATCTGGTATTAGTGTTATGCATATTAAAATTTCTAGAAAAATATTCTCTATTCAAATCTGTGTTCAAAATTTTAGGGGTTCCTATTTGAAAATCAAAAGTATGTACTTATTTAAGGTATATGGAGCAAAGGTAAACAATTAAAAAAGGTTTTAAAATAAACCTTAAACGATTCCATAATGATTAGAAAAAACAGAAATCAAATTCACTTAAATTCGTTTGAAATCATTGTTGGTTTATGATAAAAAAAAATGACCCTGTATAATAATTTTATTGTACATATTGTCACTTATATTGAACGGTGCAGTTTTCGCTGGAACCGTTTACCGAGTCTTCATTATTTCAATACTTACTGACCGATACCGGAAACGTCTCGGATCGTCTACTATAATAATAATAATAATACTTGTATTGTCTTGCGCCATATATTATATGCCGTGTAAAAAAAAAAAAAAAAATCACGGTAGAATAAATAACATAACATTGTTTGAATATTTAATTTATTTAGCTATTATAGCCATATAAGTACATCATTCAGCTTTTTATTCAATTCGCTTTGAAAGTTTAAAAAAAAATTAGACATTTGATGACACCTCGAATTTAAGAACTTTGACGGATGCATTACCGAAGTTGCAATCATTCAATTAGAGCAACTATGAAATGTAAATGGTGGTAAAAGCCCTAGGAAGAAACACAGAAAAAGCATCGGTCGGACAGAATCTAAATGGGAAATTTAGATTGGGAAGAATATATTGGACACTATACATAACGTTCTCGAAAATCTGTTAAACTAGTTAAGATTTATAGAGAGCAAACTATTAAATGTGGGTAATAGGTACACTATATTAAAAAAAAAAAAAAAAAGGAGAATTTGTATATGGTAATAATTACTGCAGCCTTTCAAGTTTCATAAATTAGTCAAATTTACCACGAATTTGTTCAATAATTTACCTTAAAAACTTTTTATAATCACATATTCTAAAACATTATATTGTCCTCATTTTTGGGGGGTCAATCGGCTATTTACTTTTGATTTTCAAATAGAAACTTGTATTAAAAATTCCGTAAATAAACTTTTTAGTTTAAATATTACAAGGAGTTTAAATTAACTTTAGAGCCGACAACTTTGATTCAGTCAACCCGTTAACGAAATACTTGTAGATTTAGGTAGGGCGGGTCCACGTAAAACCCTGGAATGTAAAAACATGGACAGTATAAATCTGGACGGCTTCAATTTAGAATTTAATATTTAAAAAAAAGTACTGATATTCGATAAACCGTTGCTAACGAATAAACGATTCAGAGTGAAGTTTGATAAGATATATTTTGAAAAACCGTGTCTTTTACGATTTCTGTCAAACTTTGGTTTTTTAATATATAACATAACAAAATCTAAAATATGGCATTTCAAAATATGTCTTAACAAACTTTGCTCTGAATCAAATTTTCGTTAAAAACGGTTTATCGTTGCGTACAGATATAAATTGAATAACTTTATGTATCCTACCTTCTCAACTTCCTAACTACAACAGTAGCTGCACCAGTTCCCAGTATCAGCTCTTTTTTAAAATATTAAATTCCAAATTTAAACCGTCCTGATTTGCACCGTCCAGATTTTTACGGATTTCAAAATTTTATACTCCAGATTTGTACTGTCCAAGTTTTTACATTCCAGGTTTTTACGCGCAAGAGTAGCGGCCGATCACTATTCAAACGTCACGCGCTTTGCCGCTACACAAATAATGCTCCACTATTCTTTCCTTAACATACCCAAACGTAAGAATAAAATATCTCGTTAACACGTTGACGAAAATCAAAAATTAAAGTCAGGATCAGCTATAGCAAGAAGCCCTCTTGGTTTCTACTTTCTTTTGAAACTAGAATGCACAAGGAAATACATGCATTTGCAATAACAGCTGAGCCAAAACTTTTGACTGTATGGTACGGTGTCGGCTAATTTATAGTAGGTATATAACAATTGAACAATATTAATTAATCTATATATTATATTAAAAATAGTTGAGTTTGTATCAGCACATATTAGCATATATGTAATATTTATACTTAAGTCATTCATAACATTATTAGTAATTTAATTAGTTATGAAGAAACAAAAAAATAGCAGTGATAAATTTTATTTTTTCATATTTTGATGAAATAAGCAGTGATAATAATATATACCTTTGAGCTTTTGATTCTCTACAACTTCAGGGCCGTTGAAACAATCGTTACTTTTGATGTAATGTGTTACAGTAAAAATGTCAATTTTTTGTAAATTAATAGCTGATATACCTTTGACATTATATTTACTGACACAGCAATGGTTATTTATTTATTTATTTATTTGAAACAAATATTTATAAAAAATACTTTATGTACACATAAGACATCTACATTGACATTAATATTTACGTTTTGCTAAAAGTGATACCGATAGAAGCCGATAGAATTGTATCAAATTATTCGAATTTAAACAAGCCTAATTATTTTTGTAGTCATAATATAACACACGCAATGACATATTGGATGCACGGGAGTGTGGCATCGTGACGCCACATGTTAACTGAATCGTCGACGCCTCCTCAAAATGAGAAATCAATGTTTAACGGGCTATTAATCGTACAAATCGAAAAATGTACATATGTATTTTGGTTTTTGATTAAAATGTATTCTACGAAAATCAAATAAAAATTATGTTGTTCAGCTATTAAATAAAGACGACCGTGAATTTCTGCAGCAAATAAACTGACAACAATAATATATCGTGGTGCGAATGGCCATTATTTGTTAACTTTGTTGACTCGTTGTAAAAATGTTTCAACGTCGGTGGAGGAAATATGTTACTAGAAATTAACGGTAACTACCATAAACTCACTGTTGCGGTGTTTCTGTTGTTTTATTATAATGTAAACGGCATAGGATTGACTCCAGTTGCAACCATTGAACGGATTCTTGAGCCGATTGAGTACCTAAGAAGTGACCTGTAAAGTTCGATCCATACTAAAGCAACGTATAACAACTTTTTAAGTCAAAGTATGTTGACACAACTAAAGTTTCAGAAGTTACTAAATGTTTCATCAATATTTTGTTGCAAGCAACAAAAATTTCTCATTGTTTTATGTTTTGATTGAAAGCGATACATTTTACCACAAAACAATATAAAAATATTATAATAAATTGGTTAACAGGCAACAAAATATAGCTACAAGTTTATCAGTGTGGACTCAGTTTAGTCCAGTTGTTTATCAATGTTGTTGTTATTTTATTGCCTAAATGTGTACGCTATGTTTCCAATGTTGCAATTTGTTTTCACGTGTTACGGAACAATAGGTAACTATAGACTTAGAACGTTTGTTCCATCGCGACCAATTACACGAAAAACTTGACTACTAGGTACTAATATATTTAAAGTCAAACTAACTTTTGTAGTAGCTGCAACAAAACTTTCGTCCCGTAATTTGTCAAATACCATACCTTGAGACTTCCATTGGGCTTCAGCTGTACCAATGATTGTCAATTTTTGGCTTGCTTGTTGAGCACTGTTTGTATCACTAGATGATCTTGGCTTTTCATTTTTGTTGGATGCAACTTTAACTTACACACCGCTAAATCTAATCATACTACGGATATTTGAACCCTAACATGCGGTTTCTTGAACATCAGCAGCCAGGGCAGAGTTGATTGGTGGGATAGTACTAGTTGGACTACCGCGACCTGGAAAAGCCATCGGATGAAGTCCGGGGGACATAACGGTTGGAGGAGCCATTGATTGAAGATCATTTTCAAAGCTCTGTCGAAGTTTTGTACTGATTTTAGGTTCTGCTTTGGAAATATTCTCTATTGAGTCTTTAACAGTAATTAGCCTTTCGCAGTCAATGCTGTTGATATAATTTATACTAGATATAGTGATTTTCGTTTCAGTCTCAGGCATAATTCTCTTGATCGTATTATCTTCTTTATCGATTATTCTACCATTCAAATTATTGTGAATCGAGATCCTCGATATTACATCACCTTTATTTGTATTAGTGGCTTCTTTTTGCATAACTTCCAATATTTTACGGCATGTTTTTATAGAATTTTCTGGATTGCCATAAATAGTTGTAGCTTTTCCAAAGAACCGACATTATCTTTACGATGAACATCAACCTTGGCTTTTGTTGTTTTAATCGTCGAACCTCCTCTACCAATTATTGCTTCAACCATATCGCTATGTACTAGTATTCGTAAGGCGAACTGTCTGTTCCCAATAGTGAGGGTGGCGTTGGGGCACCGTAGGTAACGTACTTCGGTCTTATTCCACTGCGATTCCTCCTTTCCATAGCTGGTTCGAGTTTTGGCTGATAACCTTTAAGATCGAAGCATATTAAATTAGCTAGTACATTGCGCGTTTGTTGGGTGGAATCAAACGTGATGTGCATGCCTTGCGTAAGTCCATCTCGTTGACTGAATTTTTCGATTTAGATTTCTTTCACAGAACCGAACTGACTGAGAATCTGGTCTAACTGTTCGAACCGAACGTTACCAAGGCCATTGTTGATAGTTGATGTTGGCGCTCTGTTAACCATACGCGTAACAGTTGTAGTCTTACGTACTACCGTGGTTGGCCTGTAGTTGATTCCGGTCCATGCCGTTCGAAGTCATAACTATACGCGATGCGCCGGGATACGAATGTTGGCCGGGTGTGACATTGATATTATTTTACACTCACTGCACGTGCAGAGTCGATTGGTTTTTGTCACTGTTATGCGAGTACAAAAACTCACGAATGGTTTTTTACTATTTGTTTATCAACAAATTCGTACTTCGTAAAACGAGGTTAGGTTTCCTTACGGAACACGAAAGGTGACGCGATTTTTTAATCTTTGGCGCACTTTCAAGTTGTCAATGGAAGAAAAAAATAATTAATATCAAATGCAATAACACGTGAGTACATTAATAATTAATAGGTGTTGTTGATAATAATTTCGAACAGAAATAAAAGGACGGACATACTATGCACGTGGATGCAGCCATTTTCGTAGGCGGGAAGTTTGGAAGGTAGAATACAGACGGAAATTAAATGTAAGCAACGATAAACCATTGCTAACGAAAAAACGATTCTGAGAGGAGTTCAGTTGTATCTTTGTCAACAATATATTATAAAATGCCATTATTATTATTATAAAACGGTTACAACAATGTGAGTTTCCATGATAACGATGATTATTTAAAAATAATTTAAAATAATAAAAACTTAATAATAACAAAAAATAAACAAAAATGGTGACCAATGACAACTTATTTTTTTTTTGATATTTTATTCATTTTAATCTAAAGAACCAGGTTTTCTTCATTATCTTGAATATTAATGAGAATTTCAACAAATTACCTCTCTAAAAATCATCGCCCAGAGAATATTTCCTTTTGTTATCATATGTACGCGGTTAAACACACTAATAATATTACGAGAAAAGAAACACTGCGGCCAGCGATATAATTATTATTATACGGACGTAAATATTATGTTTTTGTTTAGGAATAATGAAAAATTATATACTTAGATAGAGAAAAAAAACTGATATTAAAATATAAATTTGTTAAAACAGTAACGTAATGTATAAATTATTATCTATAGGTATAACATTCAATTATACCTGTTGTATATTATATTATTAATTTTTTCGATTTTGTGATGTGATGATTTTTCGGTTAGTTAGAGCGCACGGCGCAAAAACGATGCGGACGGTCGAGCCGCGGTAGACGCGGAGATCTTGCGAGATTCTTTCTTGGACGCATACGGCAGTAATATCTGAACGGACCGTAAAACATCCTATAATCTGTTTTACCAACAGAACGGCCAAGGTAATGTTATTTTTTATGCACCACGACGTTCAAGCACAGATTGCCTACTTTTGATTTTGATAAGCACTCTTAACTAAATGACCACGATAACAAGTATTGTTTAGTTAAGGTGGGTCGTGCTACTTTGTTGTATACGTCACGCAAAGGTTTGACATATGCGACAGATACTTTTTGGTTTACAAATTCCTCAGACCGTCAAAGGAGTAAATATCAACATCTTTTACAGAGTTTAGGAAAAAAAAGCAAGTGGTAAAAAAGCAATACATTTATTTTTTATATTATAATATAAAAAGTAATATTATTGGTTAGTACTACATATTATTATATTATAGTACCATATAACAGGTACCTACACCATATTTGAATACCATTATATTACATATTCAATGATAATATTTTAAACATTTTCACAAAAATAATTATCGGAGCAAGTTATCAAAATCTGCAGACCATAATCGAATAGAACAAAAATGACTTATATTGTAATGTAAGTACAAAAATTATATTAAAATATGGTATAGGTATCTATTATAAAGTTTTTTAAAAAAAAATGAAGGCCGTAATATATTTTAACTAATACCTACATTTCTTATATATTTTCCTGTTTTTTTTTCGGTTTTTCAAATTTTATGAGAAAACTTGAGAAAATGAAAAAGTTACCAGCTTAAAGTACCTCCCTAAGCCGATTTCCTAACAGAAAAGGTGCTACACGTAGAAACCCGAGCAAGTCTTCTAGGAGAAAATTTGCACACAGATTTTAAAAAAAAAAATAAAAAAAAATAAACATCTTTGTAAAACTATAAGTTTTTTCACTCCACTTAGAATCTAGAAAACGTAACAATTCTGTTACAAAACGGTTTTTAAACACAATATAATATAATACATAATATTAGTATAATATAATAATATGACACACTCATGTCACATCAACACACGATACACTCAATAATAATATTATCGTAACAAAAAAAATCTTTCGCATAATTTACCGCGTAATGCTTTGTAAGGTATTTGAATGAATATTGTATTATTTTCTACACGGTGAGCTAGTTTTATTCGTTGTCATAGCGCCACTATAGAAATCAGAGAAAAAACGAACGATCTCGTAACTAAACCATAATATTGATTTGAATTATTCCGTTTGACGGATTTGAAAATAATTATAGTGCAGACACACTACATGCAGTTCGCATCACGTGAGGTAAGGAGCAATATCTGTATTTCTTAAATACGTATCTTCAATACTATTTAATTTTGCAATACAGTTTTGGAAAACATCGAATATCTTGTATTGCGATTCTGAAACCAATGGATCCTAGTATCGAGAATCTAGTCAAGTAGATTATATTGATTTATCACCCACTCCCGGCAACATGGGTAGGTCATTGCTGTTTGTGATGGGTGATTGTTAGCGAGGTACACGGTATATAGGATAATTTAGTTTATATCGCAAAACGATTCTGAGTTAAGCTCGGTAAACTGGTAGAGTTTTAGTGTTGTGTGTTTTTCCTGGATGTACCAGTGAAACGGAAATCAACAAATTAAAACCGTTTTACAGTCGTTATTTGAATTAATTGTTTTTTTTTTTTTTTTAGCAAAACTGTTGAAAATCTATATTACAAATATATTTCAAATAAAGTATTATCGGACAGAAATTTAAGGTATATACCAGATGAAAAAAACCGGAGCAAAAATCCATAAAAAAAAAACGTTTCCCAAGAAAACAAAAACACATCTTAGTTAAATAAATTGTACATACAATTTTCGCTGTACACTCAGAATATAAAATTAAAAACATGTTATATTGTTACTCCAAACAGTCCAAGCTATTATTTTAACGTATTCGATATTATGCTGGTAGCATATAGAAAGCGCATACCTAAACGATTAAATTATATAATACATTTTTATTTATCGAACGAGTATATCGATTACCTAGGTAGGTATAAATATGCTATTTGATATTTGATAGAAATTGTATAAGTAAAAGTTTTAATTTGAGACAAACGCATATAACAGTATAATACGAGTATACCTAATGCCTATATTAAAATAATAACTATTTTGCATAATTATGACAAGTATTTAAGAACCAGTTTTTTGAAGATAAAACTAAAATATTAGGTACCTATTTTATATAAAGAAAATAAAAATAAAATAAAATTGTGTTTAGCAGTAGAAAAAAGAAAAGTCAACGTAATGTTATGGTGTTTTTGAACTCGAAACTTTCAATTTTCAAACGTTCACATTTTTGACGAAAATTAAAATATATTAGAACATTTCAAAACATTTCGCCCGGAACCGTTTTTCATTAGCAATGATTTGACGTTCCGTGTATGTGTAAATTAAATAACTCCATGCGTGTCTTATTACTTTCCATCTTCCCGTCTACAACAGTGGTACATCCGTCACCGGTATCGGCTCTTTGGCTTAGTCGGATTGAATTTTAGTTGAAAATACAATATCGAAAAAAGTAGGCCACGGAAAAGAGGAACAAAAACGGAAAAGACAACGTGTTCTGACCGTGGCGTTTGCTGTCGGAGTTTCAATAAAAATGTGCATTTTCATACGGCGCAGGTATTTGTAATTACCTGAAATCGAGTTTTACACCCGTGCGGTCGACAATAAATTATAATTGTATTTAGGCACCTACGTCCTTTCGTTCGGCACGAACACCGGTTGACAATACAAATAAATATTTAACACACATATATATATATATATATATATCGTTAACACAAATAAAAAAGAGAAACAAATCTGAATAAACGAAACGGACGGTCCGAGAACATTGTGCGTCGCTTTCGACGACAATCTCATCCGGACGGGCGTACACAACGCTCTTCGACAACGACAACCCGCGGTACCAGTACGTAACAAAAAAAAAAAAAGTGGACAATAATAATAATAGTATCTAATAACGATGATAACATTTTATAAACGTACAGGAGAGCGTAATAATCCGTATAATCGCGGATATGATATTGTTATTACGCGGGGAGACAGTCGCGTGTGAGTCATTTTTACTTTCGTCCGGAGGCGGCGAATACGACGACGACGGTGCGGCACGAGACTCCGGACTCTCCGGAAACGGTCGCGGAGACACGGTAATCAACTGCAACAGCAAGCGAAAAAAACCGAATGAAAAGTGGCGGGCGATTTTTGTCGTCCTCCGAAAAAACGTTCAAAAGTCGATAAGTGCGCGTGACTCATGCTACCATAGAATTTATTTTCGGAGTTTTTTAAGTGAATTCGATTTCTGTTTTTTCTAATCATTATGGAATCGTTTAAATTTTATTTTAAAACCATTTTTGGTTTTTTACCCCTACTCCAAACACTTTAAATAAGTACATACTTTTGATTTTCCAATAGGAATCCCGTTTTTCGAACGCAGATTTAAACAGGGAATATTTTTCTAGAAATTTTGATATGCATAACACAAATATCAGACTTCTCGTGTATGAATAATACCAGTTTAAAGTTTAGACCGGAGGAGTAGAAAAGGGTAATAAACTGCCTATCAAATCCATCTGAAAAACTCCTTGGTAATTGCTGGTTCATAAAAAAAATCATTCTTATTATATTATGTTCAACATTTATCTCTGAATCTTTTAGACGCATACATTTTTTTTAGAAAACACATTGGAAATCATAAAAATATGTCAAATTTAAACCGTTAACCTGGATACCAGATTAAATTTTTTTATTTAGATAAGCGTTTTAAGATCATATTTGACGAAAATCATAAAAATTACTGCGTTTCAAAATATGTCTTAGCGAACTTC